GATTATTCCATGTAAACACCACATTTAGGCTACCAGCTTAGTCACGGTGAAAGTGAAACTTTAACGATGCATAGTGCTTAAAGCCACGTTAAATGTGAATGTTTACGGCCACATGAAGCTGTTACGGAGCATATAGATTGAGGATTTTCTTGAAGCAAGGATAAAATAACATTTTGTGTACCCATACTAACAAAATAATAGCTGAAATGTGGTACTTTATTCACTAAAATAAGTTTAATCTTACCATATCCAAAAACTCGCTCACTCTGCTGTTATTTAATAGATTAAATGCACTAGAATTTTATTGAATAGTACGTGGAGACACGTTTTTAATTAAAATATTCATATTAATCAAGGATTTATTGACTTTTAATGCACCTTATTTCAAAATGTACAGAAATACGTGCTTTCATATGTCTTTTAGTCATGATTATTTAATTTATTCACTATACTATTTATTAATGTCTCATTTCAGTTTGGCTCTAGTTTTGTATTTATTCCAGTTTATATGAAAAGGTTCGTGTAGCGTGGATTAAAATTCATATACAGAGTAAATCCTTTTCACTGAACACGTTAAAAATAAGTTTGAAAAAGTTGTGGGAAGTGTGGTGGTGGTGACGCTGAAGGCGAGCGCCCGTGGTGCTGTAGTTCGTTTATAGCCTAAGTTTAGCTTTTAAGTTCTGGCGCTTTTATTTAGGCTTCAAAATTCATCAAAGTTATATTATTTTGTGAAGATTATCTTGATGGACAAAACGTGTAAGTTTCATGAACTATGGTTGAACACAGAGCTTATTTTTTTCCATAATCCAAAAACCTATGGAAAAATCCTATAGGCTTTTTGTCGAGGGAACCAGTGTCATGCTAACAGCCGATCCGCCTACAAAGCGACGTCATAGTTCCCCCACTCTATAGAGAGCTGCAGGGAGAACATTATTATTATTTAGTTTTTTTTTGTAGGTCAACCCGGAAGTTCGCATCACACTGGTTTTCTCAACAAAAAGCAAATAGGATTTTTCCATAGGTTTTTGGATTATTGCACAAAATAAGTTCTGTGATGATCTTCACAAATGAACTTTTGAAGCCTAACTACAATCGCCAGAAGTAAAAAGCTAAAGTTTTCCTATTCAGTGTGATGGTTTAATATACCTTGACGACTTCTGGAGTGGCATTTAGGCACTTGTTAGAAACCGCCTTTTTCAAGAAACATAAAAGCTTAAAAAAAAATTTAAAAAAAATTCATGTGTGGGTTATTACTGATGTATTTTATGGTGTAGAACAACTTGAAAATATCGAGCTTTTTTAGGCATTGAACCATAAACTAATTTAAAAAGCCATTGACTTTGGGACAACAAAACTGGGTTTCTGGGTTTTTGGTCTCTATTGTGTTAAAAACAGAATTATAAACAAACATGCAAGCACATGAAATGTGCCTTGTTTTTTCCCCAAACACACTATTGTCCCACTGACCTGTGCTCTGGACACATCTGAGCACGCACCACAGATGAGCTCACGGGGATCATAATCGTCTCCTTGTCCTGCCTCGGCATCACAGCGAGCTTCTCCCCCAAAATAGGCCTGGATGAGTCAGAAGTCACACTGTTAGCACAACAGCTGGAGAAATGGCTTCATTATGGCAGTTTGTCATCTGAATGTTCTTCTAAATCTCATTTAATGCCGACATGCCAGGAGTGAGCTGCGTTCAATCTTTTTTGTCAACCATGTTTTTCCATTCTATTCATAGTAAACCGAGACATCCTTAAAGGGGCAGTTCAGTCAAACCCAATTGTTCTCTTTCTGAAAGCTTCCTCGGCCATAATATAAAAGGAGGATTGTTTAAAACCACTGCTTCTGTGTTCCACTGGAGGTTTGTGAACACTACACAAAACAAAAGATCGAACCTTTTTGCACTTGAAGCAGACGTAGTAAGCATATCTGTTCATGGCAAATCCAGCTGGGTTGTTGTAGAATCGAGCTCCAGACATTGTGATGGCTTCACTCTTGTGCAGTCCTTCATACTCCAGTCTCATTAAAGCCTTCCTCCTCACGTCCTCATACAGCTCTTTGATGGGCTCGAGCAGATCTTTTAGGACAGAGTGGTTTATTTTGTTCTAAAATGAAAACGCAAAACAAGAAAGACACACCTCAAATGGCAGGTACATCAACTGTTAGATATCATGAGCAGCATCTAGTTAGAGGAATGAAGGAAGAGTTTAGACTGGCTTTGGTTCATGAAGAACACAGAAGTATAAATGATTGAGGACTAAATGACTGGAGATGTCTGACATACAGTATGTGACCAGAGAGAAGACTGTCGTTCCACTGGAATATCTTTGTGATTAATAAAGGTAAAAAAAATAAACAAATAATTTAAATAAAATAAAAAACAAACGTATGCATGGATTTAACGTTTACAATTAGAGCTAGATGGGGTGAGTTACATGCAGAATTATTCACCAAAAATTTAAATTCTGTCATCATTTAGTCACTCGAACATACTTCAAAACTTCGTCTTTTATGGAAGAAAGTCAGTCATATTTAGGTTTGGAACATGATGAATAAACGACAGAATTTTCACATTCTAGCTGAATTATTCCATTAACTAGGGCTGCACACTTTAAAAAATTTAGATTTTTGTGATTTTTTGTTTTTGTTTTAAATTGCGATTAAAAAATGTTTTTGTTTTCAAGTTTGCTGGGGTTTTTTTTTTTTTTTTTAAACAGAAAATGCTTTTTAATAATTTATTATTTTATTAAATAATATAAAATAATTTTGTAAGACTTCCTAATTTAACTCAATAATTTTAATGGTACTGAATAAAAAATAAATAAAAGCCAATAAAATAACCACCCTTTTATTGAAAGTAAAACAATAAAATTGGACAGAAAATATATTAATATTAAATATAAACATATTATTTTTATTCACTTCTATGCAACAGATTTAATATTTTTTTTAATTATCCAAATAATGTATAATCCTACAAAGCTATAATTATCAGAGCATGTGAGCAGAGCATAGCGTCACGAGTAGTGTTAATTTCGTTAATGAAAACTATAACGAAAAATGTTTGTCAACTAGGTTTTTTCCCCTGACGAAAACGAGATGATAATAAGGTCATTAAACGATAACTGAGACTAAATGA